AAAAATCAGTTGCATCTTTGAAGAAGCATAATAAGATCAACTGGACAGAAAATCTTTGGTCCGTTTGTGACAAAATTAACAGAATAAATTTAATGGAATTTCCTAATGTTAATCTCCTAAATCAGAGTGGCTGTGGTAAATGTCTGTATTCATCTGAAAACTGACTAACAATCACTATGATGCAACTTAACCCCTCTGTTTGAACAGTATCCCTTACTGCTTAAAATAACTTCATTAGTTAGCACATAGATCTGTCCTGACGTGGTGCTGATACTAGTTTATAGTTTGAATAATTACCTTCCCAGTGCTGCAGCAGTCTCTATCTCTGTGTTTCTGTACATCAGTGTTACAGTTTTATCTGTCCCTATTAATGTCCCTATTTCATAAGGTGTTTCCTTGTTTCCTGCAGGTTTACTTGGAGTAATTCCAACAGCCATTGCAACAGTCCCTACACCTACTGTGAGGAAGCCAACTACATAGGTACAAGCTCATAATGTGCAGTTTACTTGAACTTGAAGCACGTTTTATATTCATATTACACTTCATATAATTTTTAATTTTGATGAAAAGGAAATAAATGGTCTGGAATTAAATCACTTGAAATTTACTGCAACAGGTGTTGACATTTCATCCTTAAGGTTTCTGTGGATTCAAGCTCAGCATTTGTTTGTTGTAATCATTTTGTAGGTAATGGAACATTTCCCAGTGGTTTCCCTGGGCAGGAGGGCCAGAACACACATAGCAATCAGACCAGCTGGAATGAGGAACAGCCTCAGGAATCGCCATCAACCTGGGACACAGCAGCCTGTGTGGGCAGCAAGGTGACAACTCACAATACATACCTCAGACTAAAGCCCCTTTTACACTGGTTAAAAAACTCCCTAATATCAGGCTTTTGTCGGCAGTGGAAAAGGGTACAATCAGCATTCACACCCGGGTCCAATGAATCTGCAGTAGACATGAGTATTTATTGGCTCCGGCTCCGATCAGCATCGGTAAACCCAACACCCGTTTGTACCCACTACTTTTATCCCCTTTTGTATGCTGTGACTTCTTTCAGAGCACACAAACATGTAGAGTCACCTGTCACCTGCGTGGTGCTGTTAAACCAGAAACACCACAGCTACACTGCACTCGAGGATGAAAGAATGAGCTGCAGCCCTGAAATAAGTTACATCAAAAATACATCAGATGTCTTGTTTTGCCCAATAAAGGTCCAGAATTCAAAGATATTAAGTCATGTGTAACACAGAATATCTTCACATTTGAGAAGCTGCAGAAATGAAAATATTTGGCACTTTTACTTAAGAAATAGCTAAAACTATTGGATTATGGAAATTGGTTCAAATTAATTAATCGACTAATTTTTTTCTCTACTTTGTTGTGATGCAGGTAAAATGTTGTTTGCTGGTCTTACTGGCGGCATTTTATTGATAATTTTGAAGGAACTTTTAGCTGAGTGAAATGAAGTAGAAATATTCTTATGATTGATATTCCCCAACTCTGGACTTACTTTATATAAACCACAAGAATATAACACTCAGAGAAATTTCCCCAACTAGAGGACATTTGCATTTAAATATAGATGTACAGGATGTGCTTAAAGTCTTGAAATGAAAAAATAAATGCAGTGGGTGAATAAAATGTCATGATATAATTTATACATATACATATATATCTCAAATAATTGGAACACAGTATGAAATAACACAAAATGTTATGAGTTACCATATTATAAGCACTAAATGGGGCGAGAATATGGGGAAACGATGAGTAATTGCAGTTTCTCACACTACTGTTACTGATTGTGATCACAGTGGAACCACAGTATGACGTCTTCTTTGTTTTGACTCGTGTATCTTTTAGAGGCAGTTATTAGCTCTTGAACTTCACTTCATCACTTCACTCTATAGAAATGAGGAACAAGTGCATGTGTTTTTAGACTCAGTCTTACAGAAAGTGGGTTTTTTTTTATAAATTCCTCTGCTTCTCCTTTTTACACAGCTGTCATTGTCCTTCATCTTGCACACTGTTGCATGCACTTCACGTGCCATTCTTTTCAACGTAACTCGGAATTTAAACTATTAGACTATTGTCTTATCACAGGTTAACTGGTATTGGTGTGCATGTTGGTAGATATTACACATGCAAAAAGAAATTGCATTACATAAATATTTTACAAACTGCAAATGTACCTTCGATTATTTTTTTTGATTGTTATTTTAATACTTGGTTGCTGCAGTTGCATTTTAAATGGTAATTATAGAATAATTTATTTTCAAATCTGGTTTTAAAATTTTTGTTGTTTTTTCGTTTTTATGAACAGCGGTTTATTGATTTATTGTAAAATATACATCATCAGTAGAAAGCCCTCAATTTTTAACCAAAATAAATGGATGCTTACCTTAACTGGCTGATATATTATCAGTATTTTTAAACAACGCATTTATTATTTATTTCTTTTTAATATTTATTTTATTTTGTTAAATTTATACATTTCTACTCAAATATTGGCCATAAAAGTATAAAAAGTATCTGCTGTGCTTAAAGCTAATGAAGTGAGGTAATAATTGTAGAAAATTGCGTAATGACATTCAAAAACAGACATCAAACAAAAAGGAATTGCATCTTGTGGAAAATGACTGCACAGTAAAATACATTTCTAGATTATAAGTGTTACACATTGCATGCAGCAAGTTGTTATTTGTTTTACGACTTGCAGTTGTCATCCTGACAACAGGCAGAAAAGTATTTCTGCGACCCTTGAATCATTGAGTCAAGTATGTAAGGCAGTAAATCAAGGCTTTATTATTTTTATATTAAGATTTTCAACTATGACGATATATATAGCTGAAATATTTCTTGAAGGGATAACCTTAATTTTTTTGGTATTTTTGCCCGTGAGAGGCGTCTGACACTCAACAAAGCTCCCCAGCTGTCGTCAAAAACAGGGGATATTGCATTTACATAGCAAGCGTCTTAACTGCTAGTTGCTATGACACCTGAAGAGGTTACATTTTTTGCTGAGGATGGGGGTCTTTACTAGAGCAGGAAGGTAATTTTCTTTATGCTGAAAAGGAGAGATGAGATTTAAAAACCGTGAAATGACAGCCAGGTCACCACCGCAGGGAGCAGACAGCCGAACGCACAATGGTAGCAGAGCACAGTTACAGGTAAGGTTTGGAAATCTCACGGAAGTATAGTATTGGGAGACAGCATCTTTAGACAGCTGTGCACAGTAGCACCTGAACACACAAACTAAAGCTCAGAGAAGTAGCTGCAGAGTTCATGCTTCCCCTCTTTTCATCCTTTACAGCCATACTTCTCGGGTACCCGCAGCCTCTCCCCCATGTCCAGCCTGTTTGGATCCATCTGGACGCCTCAGAGCGAGCCCTACCAGAGCCACTTCCAACCTGAGCGATCAGCCCCGATGTCCCCCGTGTCCCCCATCACCCCTCCTCACTCTCCCTTCAGCCGGGAGCCAGAGGTGACCTGCAGACCGATCCAGTACTCCAGCTTCAACCCATTCGGCCCACACATGAACCTGGACATATGGAACTCTTCTTCCAACCGCAGCTCCAACTCACAGCTCTCCAACGACTCTGGCTACTGTGGAGATGTTTAAAGTAAAACAAAACAAAAACAAAACAGCAGACCTTAACAATAATGGCAAACATATAAACCATTGATATGTAAAAGAAAGGAAATAAAAGTGAATGTTCTTTTATCATTATTGGGGAAAATGTGAATATTCCTTTTCTTTTATGTTCCCATTTTCAAATGTTAAATGTTGTGAAAGGTTAACCCTTTTGTTGTATATTTTTCTAGATGTTTTGCAGTTTTGATCATGGAAAATAAAAAAAAAAAAGGTTTTCTACTTGAACATTTCAGTCTTTTTTGATTAACATAATTTACATAATTTATAATTTGATCATTTGAATCAATTGTCAGAGCCACAAGCCAAAAGACATAATACAATAAAAAAAAATAAAAAAAATAATAAACTGCTCCCTTTTAAAGCCTGAGATAGTTTGTTAGTACTACTAGTGATTAGTACTTAGGTGTGGACATTTGTAATTGTTTTCAGATTCATTCTTTGTGAAATATCAAGAGCAAATTTAATGCCAATCTGGCTGTTAGTTTTCCAGATATCTCGTTGTAAACTATGGACTGAGTAGGTATCAGCTCCCATACTGACCTATTACGTATAACTATCCAAATGAGCTGTACACTGTGAGGTATGTACTGTAGGTTTTCATTTGGGGAAAATAAGAGATATCAGATTAGTAGTCTGTTCCAGATAATACATATATTTTAGAAGATTAACAGTCTAGCAAGAAATCCTACCAAAGATTGACAGATAGATAATCTTGTGACACCACCCGTCTGAGGCCCTGTTGAAAAAACAGGGTGCTATATGCACTAGTTGCAGCTCTACTATTTGAACACTGCACATCCATCGGTTCCACTTTCCCTGTGCAAGATTCGAACTGGTGCATTTGACATAAATGAGTCTGATTTGTTTTTCCCGTCATTGACTGTAGAGATGCATTCACTTTAACATTTTCATCGTTTTCAGCAGAGATATATATAGAGCCCATTCAGCGTTACTGACAGGAGAAGGGGTTTCGTTTGTTGTAGGTGCTGATCCACCTCAAGAACTTGAAGCTGTACACAAGTGAACTATGAAGCCTACCAAACTAGGGATCGACCGATTATCGGCCGGGCCGATTATCGGCGCCGATATTCAGCATTTTGACGTATATAGGCATCAGCCTTTTTTTAAATTGGACGGCCGATATATCGGCCGTCCAATTTATATCTCTTATAAGAGATCAATTTAAAACTGGGTTGTTTTGGCTCTGATGCAGCCGCGCCTCTCTGTCTGCTGTCACTGCTCTGTCTCCAGCATTGTCCCACCCACAGCACCATCTGATTGGTTACAAGCAGAGCCACGGTAACAGCCAATCAGCAGTGAAAGCTGTGCATGCACAGTGCTTACACACACGGTGGAGAAGGTCCGGAGAGCAGATACTTGTTTTGAAGGTAAGTTAAGGCAGCAGAGTTTCCCGAAATTGTAATCATCCCAGTCCTCTAAAACTCACAACTACTAGTAACATTACTGTGAACCCATTAACGTTATATAAACATAAGCGGCAGTTCTGCTCGCTCGCAGTCCCTCCAGACGTGCCTGTTAATCACTTGAAACAAGGTTGCTGATAATATCGATATGGAAATAGTCTGTGATAGTAGAAGTCTCTGTGTGTGTGGTGTGTGTGTGTGTGTGTGTGTGTGTGTGTGTGTGTGTGTGTGTGTGTGTGTGTGTGTGTGTGTGTGTGTGCGCGCGCGTGCGTGCGTGCGTGCGTGCGTGCGACTGAGAGAGTGACTGAGAGAGAGAGTAAAAACCTAATGAACTCAATTCAGTCCAGTTTTATTGCAGGGAAGCCCGTCGAGGTGAAGGTTGGTTAGCTTTTAGTGTAACGTTGGCCCACCGGTCCGCTTTCTCCTTCTCTGGCTCTAGATGCTCAGCAGACTGTAGCAATGGGGAGAATGTCTGTTATGGTGGAGAATAGTGTGTGTTTGTGTGGAAGTCACATGAGAAACTCTACAACTACTGTGAGGCCCAATACGTTAGCGGCAGCTGTCTGTTCCTACGATAAACATTGATTATTAAAGTGAAGATGCTGTAGGCCAGGCCTATTCAATTGGCGGCCCGCGGGCCACATGCGGCCCAGACGCAATACCCGAGTGGCCCAGCTCGTGGTTCAGACAAAAAAAGAAGAAGAAAAAAAAAAAAACAGAGAAAAACACATTTTGCGAGAATATCTCGAAATCCCTACAGTACTTCAGACAGTGAATGCAACACTCCAGGTAACCCACATTGTAGCGTGTTGTTTTGTTTCGAAAGTTACTTTTACAAAGTTACTGATATAAACCTTTTAATGAGTTACATAAGACAAAAATGTTTATTCTTATATTTCAGAAGTGAAAAAGTATTGCTTCTACCTCAGTTCAATTACAGTTCTTGAATTGTATTTTATGCACTTTTAGATGTGGCTGCGTTATACAAAAATTTAAAGGGGAAATGATGAATAAACATCACTTGTTTCACTATATTTATTTGTGTTGGTTTGAAATTTGTCATTACCTCCTGCTTATTGACCGCTAGGGCTGTCCCAAAGGATTATTCTTTAAACGATATTAAGTAGCATTAAGTTTTAAATGCAAATTTAAATAATAATTAATGTTTTTTTTCTTAATTTATCAGTTTATTAATCGATTTCATACCATGGCCACAGATTTCTCAATTCTGATTAGGTGGCAGATGTGCATTCATTTCTAGTAATCGGACAGTTTGTCATTTTAAATTAATGTGACAGTCTTAACAGTGAGGCTTACTGAACTTGAGTTATTTGTTCAAAGAATGAACTAAGATAGATAAATGCAGTATCTTGTCAGTTAAAACACAAACTTAATTTTAAATGTTTGATATTTACAAGAATCTGTCCTTGCACTGTTCAAGCTGGCTCACTGGAACACAATAATGTTATACCTGTGCTTTTCCTACTCTGACAAGTCAAAATGTTTGCTGTGAAAAAAGCGTATATTATAGTGAAACAGAATATTAAATGCAAGTGTTTCCAAGAAAAATGATGGCCTTTCTCTGTGGGGGACTTCCTACCCAAAGGAGCTTAGTAATCATTTGTTTTACACACAATCTTCATTTTCATTTTAAATATTTACATCAGATTGTGTAGGGTTAGTTTGATAAATATGAACATGTCAGCTCATTAACCACAGGTCATGGTAGCTGCATCGATCTAGGGATGGCAATGTTGATTAGTCCACTGATTTGGTTCAGACTGACATATCTCAACAGCTCCTGGATGGACTGGCACCAAATTTTGTGCAGACATTCAATGTCCCCAGAAGATGAATCCCTAATGACTTTGGTGTTCCACGAACATTGACTCTAGCACCACCATGAGGTTGATATTTGAGATTTTGAGTGAAATGTCTCGACAGCTTTTGGACTTGTTGCCATTAAATTTGGTTCAGACATTTATGCTCCCCACACGATTAATTGTAGTAATGACTTTCATGATCCCCTAACTTCAAAGTCAAAATTGTAATTTGTCCACTACTTTGGTATATGGCCAAATATCTGCAAAACTAAAAACATTTCCATCAGCCTCAGCTGTTTGTGTTTCGAGCTAATTAGCCAATATTAGCATTAGTCATTGTGTTAAATTCAAATGGCAGTCATGGTCAACCGCTCATTATCAGCATTTTAGCGTTGTCATTTCAAGCATGTTAGCATGCTGATGTTAGCATTTAGCTCAAAGCACCACAGCTAAATGGAGTTGCTACCATGTGTCTTGGCTTGTTTATTGCCAAATTACTTTGCACAACAGTTTGGAAGAAAAGGCCTGATGGTTGGTTTTCTTTTCATTTGTTTTTTACAGGAAGTCAAGATGAAAATCCTGACGTCGCTCATGTTTATCCTTCTGCTAATGCATCAAAGCTTTTCACTCTCCACACCGCAGTGTCACATGTGTGAACAAACATCATGTAACTGCTCAGGACAAAACCTGCAGAAAGTCCCCGCAGCCCCCTCAAAGCTCATCACTGAACTCGACATCTCTTTTAACAGACTGACGACGATACTAAAAGATGATTTTCTTGCTTATGCCAGTTTAAGGTCTTTGATCATGACTAGCAACAACATCAAAACAATCCAGGAACAAGCATTTGACCCGCTGATAAATCTGGAGAAACTGGACCTGTCTTTAAATCAACTGGATACGTTGTCTGCTGGATGGTTTAAGAACCTTTCTACCCTTCGGTACTTGAATCTTTTGGGAAACAAATACGTAACATTGGGTCAAGGCAATCTGTTCCAACCACTGAAGAAATTAAAGACCCTACATTTTGGAGGACCTCAGCTTCAGTCTGTCAGGAAAAATGACTTTTCAGGTCTTAGTGGTCTTGAAGAGCTGTTTTTTGATGGGAAAAATCTACTGCAGTATGCAATAGGAGGTTTGAGAGAAATTGGGCCTATTAGCCATGTGACACTTGGTTTGAATGGTCCTTTTATGACAAATCTAAAGCTTGTAATTGATGTAGTATCTGATGTCGTACACCCAAACACAACACTGACTTTCACTGACACATGGCTCCTTTTAGAGTATCAAATCTCCCCATTTAAAGTAGCCTACAACCGTGGAACTACAGGTCTTATTTTTAAAAATGTTACCATGACAGTTGCAGCTTGTATAGCACTTCTAAATTTGCTACCAGACTCTAATATAACTATGTTGGCACTTGAAGATACAACATTTTTTTTAACATCTCTGAGTCACTTTACATCAATTCCAGACAAGTACCGTTTGGAGGTTGTTGTCATAAAAAACGTGGAAGTCCCTCAGTTCTACAATTTTCCAGCCATCACTTTCTTGGAGCCACTACTGAAAGTGGTGCGAAGGGTGTCACTGCTAAACTCCAAGTTGTTCGCCATTCCCTGTGAATCCTCAGCTGATTTCTCACAGCTGGAGTATTTGGATATCAGTGACAACATTTTCAGTGATCTCACGCTGAGAGAAATGATGTGTGACGGCAAAGGTGTCCTTTGGAGTCTGCAAACCATCAATATCAGCAGAAATGACCTACGGTTAATCAACAGCCAGCTCTTCACCAAACTAGAAAATCTAAAAAACATTGACATGAGTGGAAATGTGTTTCACAGAATACCTGAGACTTGTAAGTGGCCGCCAAATCTTAGATTCTTAAACCTTTCATCAACACATTTAACAAAGGTGACCTCTTGCCTGCCAGAAAGTTTACACATCCTTGACCTATCAGACAATAAATTAAGCGTGTTCAACATCAAGCTACCCTTTCTCACAGAGTTATACATCTCCGGCAACAAGATTGGTAGTTTGCCTGATAGTAGTTTATACCCTCGTCTTGAATCCATCTCCATTCAAAACAACGACTTGCAGACATTCAGCGGTAATAATCTAAATGACTATAAAAATCTGAAGAGGCTGGAGGCTGCTGCTAACACGTACGTCTGTTCATGTGAATTTGTAGCGTTCATGACAAGTGACTTGGTGAAACATCGAGTCAGAATTAGAGACGAGTTCACATTGTACATCTGTGACTCCCCTGATGCTGTGAGAGGAAAGAGTGTGGCAGACGTGAGGTTATCAGTGTTTGAGTGCCACAGGGCGTTATCTTTTTCTTTACTCTGCTCAGGCATCCTGGTAATGTTTCTGCTCTTCTTACATTTGTGTCACAAGTACAGTGTTGTGTGGTATATAAAGATGACTTTGGCCTATCTGAAAGCTAAGAGAAAGCCAAAGTTAAAAAGGGGAGAGCTTGAGTATGACGCCTTTGTGTCCTACAGTGAGATGGACTCTGGTTGGGTGGAAGCCCATCTGGTTCCTGAGCTCGAGCAGTGCGAGCCCCCTTTCCGACTCTGCCTTCACAAAAGAGACTTTGTACCTGGGGGATGGATTATAGACAACATCATGGACGCCATTGAGAAGAGTCACAAAACACTCTTCATCCTTTCTCAGCATTTTGTCAGGAGTGAATGGTGCAAGTACGAGCTGGACTACACCCATTTCAGATTGTTTGACCAAAACGACGACACAGTTGTTCTGATTCTGTTGGAGCCCATTGACAAAAACACCATCCCAGAAAAGTTCTGTAAGCTGCGGAGAGTCATGAACTCCAGGACGTACTTGGAGTGGCCTGATGATGACAACCAGGTTGCCAGGTTCTGGCAGAGTTTGAGAACAGCTATTAAAAGACCTGTGACTGATAATGATGGAGTCAATATATTCTATCAAGCTGGTAATGTGGTGTTTTGAATTGTAGTGTTATATTCAGGGGACATGCTCTTTTTTCCCCATTCACAGCAGCTACATGCACTATGTGAAGCCATTTGTACATCATTTGGGGAAAACATGATAGTTGCCCAGGAAAAACAAATGATCATATTTTGAATCTAACTGGTCTCTATCTGATACAACACAACAAATTTTGTCAATTACTCATTTTCACTGCTGCCACATAAAAAGACGCATAAAATGTCTGATCTTACTATTTTGATTTTTCATGACATAGGTGGGCAATGAATTTGGTATAAACAGCATCACTAATCATGAAACCTATTTTTGTTACACTATACTGGAATACAGTTCATAGATTTAATGTTTAGATGACAAATCTACATTTAAATCCAGATAGAAGAAGCTGTTCAACTCGTCCGAAAGATTTTTGTTTAACTTTTCCTCACAGCCACAATGTTTTGAATAACACTAAATACTGCATGTGACAGTGGATCTTTGTGTCATTTATGACCTGGTAAAACAAGCCGCTGCCATTGCCCCAGACAGACAAACAAATGACAAGGAAGTTACATCGTCACTGATGACCTGCGTTGATGAGAGGACATTTTCATTTTCATTTTGACCCGAAAAGAACGCAGTGTCATGTAAACATAAATGGACTGTGGGCGCTGTTTGCTTATTGTTTTTGAATATTGTCACTGTAGAGCAGGTTAAGTCTTTGAAAATTAATTAATTTCAGTTTTCATTCATAGAACACCCACATGAGGATGTGAAAATGAAAATGTAAAATTGGATTACTGCATTTTCTTTTTAATTGTTTACTGTTTAATTGTCTTTTTACTCTGCTGGGCTGAAGAGCAGCAGGAGAACAGGTGTGCTGACTGGGCAGCTCACACAGGTGCCTTGAGTGTTCTTTGTTCTGTGTCATGAGCTCATTCTCTCTCTGACGTTCAGCTGAACTGGCTCCCTCTATCATTTCACCTTCGTTCTGTTGAGTGAGGTTATTTCATTATATTTCCCCAAGTCATGTTCATTTTGTTTTTATCTCCTTGGTTTGTGCTCATGTGATAATATATAGAGTGACAATGTATTGATGTACTGATTTATGATTTAGAATTTTGTTGCTTTATTTGATATTATATCATAGAATTTGACCTATGTGTATGCTTTCTTTGATTTGTAGAAATATAACCACTCACATCTGACTGGCTGCAAGCAAAAGATTAAATACTCTCAAGTGGAACCTGCTGACTGCTTCTCCTGCTTTGCTCATATTCTTAAAGTCAAGTCCAGTGTAATCCTAGAACACATGCAGGTACATGTGTGAAAATTACATTGCTATCATGGAATTACATTTTCATTTTCAAGTTTACATGGTCATCTTAATAAAGTCCCTGATAGGCTTCTATAATGATTTATAGAAGCCTCAATTACACTCAATTGTTTTTAATGTGGAGGGTTCACTTAAAAAGAGTAATGCAATTCCTGCATTCCACATTATCATTTGTCACTTATGACATTTAATAGATATTCTAATGGAATATAGATCCACTGGTACTAGAACAAAGTCAGTGCCCCTTGTGTTAATCTATGGATGATATGCAGTTTGTGAGCTTTGAACATTTTTTCTGGACTTCATGTTTGCTGCTTTACTCTGTGTCAATGAGAGCAGGCATGTTATCCGTTTCTAGCCTACATGTAAGGGAAGGGTTGGCATGGGGAAAATAGCATGAAATGAATAAAAGTCATCCTGGATGGCAGAACTGGTAGCTGGCCGAGTCTGGCACGTGTGGTCTATTTAAGGCCTGGTTGTAGGTTGTTGGACTCCACCAGTCGGACTGCACTTAAGACAGATCTCTCGGCCAAGTCTTTTCCAGGATAACTTGAAAAGCAGCATCATAGGAAAAGAAAACTGGGGAACAAACAACCGCAGAAACTTTTTAGACATGTGACAATATCGGAAGTCGAGTGAACAGGAAACAGGACGTGCAGGGAGGAAGCCGAGCAGAGCGCGTTACCTGCTTTTATAAACTGATCACATACGGGAATTGGGAATGTAGCGTGCCATCACTGCCATATACAACGCCAAAAACCGCCATGGCCGCAGTGAACTGAAACCTGGCTCTGTGTACAGCCCGCGACCAGACAGTGAAACACTCGGTGAGTAAAAATACCCATGCTGTTATCGCCTCTGTGCTCTAACTCACCTGCCCAGTACCGGAGGTAAGTCCCACAGCCCCGAGGCTTTGAATTTACTTTCTCAGCAAAGTGGTTTGAGAAAATTGTAATTTCTTGATGCTTCATGTGAACAGTGCGATATCTACTGGCCTTAATGTAAAATTGGAAAATACAAACGTTTGTATATCTCAAATTCAATATAAGGATAGGGGAACCCAACCATGATTGTATTTTAAATTCTAATTATAGTAGCCTAATTACTGTAAAAGCAAATCAAAACATATTTTCTATGCATCAAATGTGTTAATATCAATCAAATTATGCCCAATATCTTTGTTTTTCCATAAAGGTGCAATGTGTAAGCTCTGGCCAGAAATTTAGTTTAAAATGTTCAAAAAAATGAATTAACAATATTAACAGTGTGTGAGGGAGGCACAGTGTGGCAGTGGTCGAGCACGGTCGTCTCACAGCAAGAAGGTTCTGGGTTCCAACGCCGGGCCTTGGGCCTTTCTGTGTTGAGTTTGCATGTTCTTCTTGTACCTGCGTGGGTTTGCGCATTATTTTAATTGGCGACTCTTAATCACCCATAAAGTATGTGAATGTGAGCGTGAGTGGTTGTTTGTCTCTGTATGTCAGGCCTGTGATAAGCTGGCGATCTGTCCAGGGTGTACCCCGCCCTCGCCCAATGTCAACTGGGGTTGGCCCCAGGCCCAGGCCCAGGCCCAGGCCCAGGCCCAGGCCCAGGCCCAGGCCCAGGCCCAGGCCCAGGCATAGGCATGACCAAGACCTCTATCTACTGTATTTAAGATATCTACCACAATTACCATGCTAACCCTGCTGCGTCCTGTGTTGTAATACCACTTTATGACACTAGATGCTGTGTGAATCAGGATCCAGTAGGCGAGAGAACACACGTCGATCAGTTGTAACCATTTTACATTACTGTTACGAGATCAGGCAGGATTGAAAGTTTACTAGGCCTGTACATTTCTCAGGAGTTTTCAGCATACTTTAAAGGTCCTGTAAAGTGGAAAAACATATGCGTTCTGAGTTTGTCACACCACAGAAAAATGGGCTATTAAACCCCCAGCCAAATTTCAATTAATTAAATAATCGCCAAACATATAAAATTAGGTTTTAAACTTGTGAGAAAATAATCAAAAACGGCTCATAATAGATTGCGTGCCCTTACTTTGAAAAGCAGAAATGGTGTCATAAGAAAGTGCCTGAGCGATGCAAGTTGATTTTCATTCAGAAAGTTTGTCTCAAAACTGTATGTGCATAAAATGCAAATTCACAAGCATAGAACTGAGATCCACAAATTCGCAAATGGAAAATTGATTCACAAATGTCTGTTTTAAAGTTGTAAATGTTAGGAAGATATTCACTTTCATTTATTTATAGGCTAAATTTCTTAAATGTATTCACAGATATTTTTTGTATTTGTGGAATTTGTTTGTGAATTTGCAGATCTGTTTTATATTTGCAAGATATTTGTGTCAGTTTACAAATGTATATTTTGTATTTGTACACATTTACTCACTGATTGTCAATCTGTGCACACAATTAATATTGAGACAAATCTACCTCCATACCTGTCCCTGTCCTTTGTCCTTGCTCTCTTGCCCAGCGTGCCAAAAATAAAACCATCAAGTTTTTTGCATCAAGCCTGAATGCTCCGGGCGACCTATAAATGGCTATTTCCCCAGTACAATACTAATAGAGCTCCACTGATTTGCTGGTCCAGTCAGAGAGGCTGAGGAGAAATGACACCAAGTTGAAGTTATATTATAAACTTCATATAAAATTCAGGTGCTTTAGGAAAACCTACTTGATCTTTAGTCTATATATAATCAGAAACTGCTGATTAATTAGTAAAAAATATTGATTCAATGTAGCTTCAATGATTTTAACAAACTCTCTCGATTTAATATGTTAACATATAAGACAAATCTGAAAGGTGTGTGTGTGTGTGTGTGTGTGTGTGTGTGTGTGTGTGTGTGTGTGTGTGTGTGTGTGTGTGTGTGTGTGTGTGTTGTGTGTGTTCATGTGCTTGTGTGCCTAAAAATGTGTGTAATTCATTGTCAGGCTCTTGAGAGCTGACATATTGGCGCTATTGATCTTTAGCCCTAAAATCAACACAGAAGCCAGGATACTGATGACAGGCAGGCCAGGGGAGCCAGGGTGTCCTGATAACACACACACATACACACGCACACACACACTAACACACAAACACATTAATGCTCGACATGCACATGTGTACAGAGTTACAGATGTCCATAAAGGTCAGTAAAATCTGGTGGAGTGCAGGACTTAATCAACAAGACTTCATCAAATCATTGCTTTCATGATTGACACATATTATATACAAGCAGAGGCTCTGAATCACACCTCATGCATGCTCTACAATAAGGTGACATTGTGAGTGAGTTTATCAAAGCAACTGTTCAAACCCACAGAATTTTAATTTAAAGTTTAAGAAAGATGTCAGTATTTTCAAATTTTTTAAATATATCTGGTTGTAAATGTAGTTAAATGCAATTATAATGATACACAACACGTCTAAAATGTTTCACTTAGTAAAATGTGCAGTTGTGAACACATGGTGTCACATTTTTGAATAATTCACACAGTTTCATACCAGCCGCACAGAGCCTTGGTGAAGTATGAGAACATGTAGAGACTGAATATTGTAACAGTATTATTTTATGAAAACCATAATTTTGAAATCAATTAGTATGTTTTATTAAAAAAAACAAAAAACAAATTGAGACTGTTATCGACCAGTATATTTCATAATTTTCCATAATTTTTATTTATTTGGGTTTGTAAGGGAGTATGAATAATTGGGATCCATTCATAAACAGCTTTTCATTTCCAGAAAAATTCTCTACTAAAATTCTAATAACTGGAAAAACTGGTAGAGATACATTTAACACAATTTAAATATCCATTTATTGCCGGGAAGTTCAGTTTTATGGGTGGTGTGAGATGGTCACACATCGATCTTTATTTTAGCTAAATGATACAGGACATAATTCTCAGTACCACATTTTACACTTTGTTCTGCTCTACTACTTGATCTATTTTCACCCCAACAGAGTTTTACTCTCTAAGGTGAAACTGGGCTCGCTGGTGGGGAGTTTGACGTGGTTTACTCTTGTGAGTTTTGAGGTGGCATCTAATTTAAAAAAAAAAAAAAAAAAGTATTACAGTGTGTCGTGTTTTATCGAGCCGTGTCTGACCAGGTTGTACTGTATCTCTGGTGTTGTTGGTGATGAGTGGTGGGCTGATGTCAGTTCAGAGTGTTCCCCTTTAGAAGTCAAAACAGCATATGATTTGATTTCATGCTCTTTTATCCTTTAACTAGCCTGATAACAGGGACGGAAAAGGCAACGACGTGTGTGTGTGTGTGTGTACAACAACTCTCCATCATCCCCTAGCAGAGGATCCATTAGCTGTGGACCCCCTCCCCGGTTGCCCAGTGATAAAGTAAACAAAGTGTGTTTGACCAATCCGGCGGGCAAATATTTGTTCTGGAAGCTGCTTCATCCGACAGGAGACACACAAACACACACACACACACACACACACGTGCGTCTGCAGCCGTGAGCTGAGGTATATATACAGTGAGAATCCGACTGGACCAGTATTACATATGCACACACACAAACAGCAAAGTGGATCCATCAGTGACCCAGGCCAGACCTTTTCCTGGACACAGACTCACCTGAACCTGGCTGCTAAGTCGCATTTCCTCTAGGTAATAAAACGTTAAGTTTATCAACCATTTTGAAAATGTTGTCCTGTCAACAACCTGCTCTCCTCTTAGATATTTACCTGTTCTCTTCTGTAATTGTCTCTTCCAGTGTTAATAAGCCAACATGGCGGCAGGTGTCATCAGGAACTTCCTCGTCCAGGCCCCAACTCCAGCCTACTTCCCCCTGATTTTCCAGCACTCTCCCTGCAAAGACGACGAAGAAGAAGAGAAGCTGGAGGAAAAGCCAGAGGAGAGGGAGGATGAAGAAGAAAGAGAAGAGGAGGAGGAGGAGGATGAAGAATCTGAAGCTCAAGAGGAAGAAGAAGAATGTTTAGAGGAGGTTTTTCTAAACCCAGACCACTATGCTTTGGATGTGACCAAGCAGCTGTTGAGGTTTGCAGACCTTATCAGTCATGATGTTCAGCGGTATTTTGGTCGCTGCTCTGGTGACCAAGAGGCTTGTGACATCTACAGCGACTCCGTGTCCGTCACAACCAGCGGGCGTCTGCGTTACTACGACGACCTGCTGAGAATCGCTAGAGCAGGGAGTCCAGAGGAGCAAGAAAACAGCTTTGCGACTTGTAGTGATCATCAAGGAGTTGGGTTTGCTAAGGGCAACAACAGTTTGGGGCCCCTGGCTGAACTGTTCAACCACAGGGGCCCGATTCAAGGCCGTACCCAACCAATGATCAAGCGGCATCTCCCGCTCAGTTTCTGGACTGAGCCGATCCCCTGCTGCTCTCTGGGCAGCTTCAGTAACACACTTGATGTCACACACACAGACAGTGACACACCTCCACAGGACAGCACACACACAGACGCTAACACACACGTGCACTATAATGCGCTCACACACCACAGCACGCACGCCCTCGACAACAATCAGCCTGACTTCAGTGACTTGCTGGCAAACTGGGATCCAAACCCAGAGCTCACACACACGCTGACGGAGAACACACACATGCAGCATTAAAGCCTGATGGGACTGAGAGAAAAAGACTTCATTCATGTCCTTCACAGTTTTGATACACACTTGTAAAGTGTTAAATAAAAAGGAAAATAACAGGAAACGACTCATTTGCTGTGCACAGTTTTCTTCTGTTTGTTTGAAAGCGTTCACCCGAATACAAACAAAACATTATCTGATCTAACCTTGATAGTCTCCAGTCATGCACTTGACTTGATTTGATTTTCTGTACCCAGCTTTGAACATGTGTCTAAGATTTCACCGCTGCCCTGCTACAATAGAGGTGTGTGAGCTCACAGCTCTGAAAAATGACATTTATATCATTCAACAGCAACAAGCCTTTCCAGAGACAGTGTCTCAGTTACTCTGGATTATCTAAAGACTTCACAGTCAACTGCTTTCTCTGATGTTTCGCAGTTGAGAGTGAGGTCTGTGTATTATACAGAGTAACTGGGTCATCTGCAACAAATCTTCCATATCAAGTTGTGTAATTGTCCTTTAAGTTGTATTTTTAAGTGAAAAATGGATTTACATAAAATAGTTGTTGGTTATCCACTTCTTTCAAGTGTTTTCTAAAATCATTGTAGACATTTTTTCAAAGTTAAAAAGGCTCCAAAATTGTTTTCTCAATTCTTGATTCAGAGAAAATTTTCATCATCTACAGCTCTGTGATAATTGGGTAAACTCCATTTGCTGACAAAGATCATGTGATCTGATCCAAAGCTCCACATCAGCTACTGGATCAACTTTCCTGGTGATTGTTTTATCAACTAATGCCTCAAAACCTCAGCACATACATTAAAATCCACCACTATCTGCCTGACCAGACGCCCCTTAATTTAGGTGAACTGACCCTAAACTGTATTACCATCGCTTGACTAATGCGCACCATGAACCTGCTGACAATGCATTAACTGTGCCGACAGTATCATCTCCAAATAACCCTGAAATCTGAATTTTATGTTGCAACCTTGAAGCAACTTCCTGTCCTTTGTGTTAGTGTGAATGAAAAGTTTAAAGGAAGTGGGAGAGAGGGGTGTGTGTGTGAAAGTGTTTGCCAAAGTTTAAGAAAACAAATGGTGAGATAAAACAGAGGACTGGAGAAGAGAGAGGTAGAAATTCATGTAATTACTGTGCTCACATGGTTTTTAGGTAAATGAGGGTCTGATAAGGACCAGAGAGACAAGTGACGGTTTGAGGACTGCTCCCGTCTGTCAGGTGACGGGCTCTACAGGAAACAGGACGAGGAAAACTTTCAATAAAATGGTAACAAGGGAGGAGAGAAGACAGATTAAAAAGTGCATGTGTGATGAGTCCTGAAGCCTCAACAGTCGATCAGCCAGTTTCTGACTATACAGGGCACCACGTGATTGGTTCAAACTGGAAAGAGTCCCCTGCAGGCGCAACTCCTGATTGGATGAGCAGGAAAGCCAGTAACATTTCGACACACACTCTGTCTATTAGACACATAAAGGTACTAACTTTCAGTGACACATGCATTGAAGGTGCCCATACCTGAGCGGAGGTTCCCAGAGCAGCTCAACATGAGGACGCGCACGCTTTTGTCCATAACTCTGCTGGGCCTGCTGCTGTGGGCCTCCTGCGCCCAGGCCAACGACGCAGACGAAAACCAGGACAAACAGTCAGAGGAGACATCAAAGGAGACAGCAGAGGAGTCTTCAGTAGAGACGGAGGAGGAGGAGGAGGAGGAAACCGAAGAGGCACCAAAGAAAGAAAAAACAACAGAGATAGAGGAGGAGGGAGATGTGATGGTTCTGCACATCAACAACTTTGCCAGAGCTCTCAGCGAGAATCAGTATGTGCTGGTGGAATTCTGTAAGTAGTTATGATTCATATATGTATGAACTACATTTTTTATTTGTCCTATAAAGATGTTAATCACACCTGTTTTAGACATTTGTGTTGCTTTATAGCACAAATAACATCAGTGACCACAGATGTTGAGGATGATTTTGTATCATACAGATGTGTATTTCTTTTAAAGAAGACATGCAGATGTGATCTCTTTTTTGAGAATGATAACCTGGGTGCACATTACTGTGATAAAAGTTCTAAACTCAGCTGAAGAAGGCCGTGGGATATGGCTGAAAGCTCTGGGAATAAGCATGTGTGCGTGAGTTCAGCATTTTTATCACAGTATAAAATGTCAAATGTTAAACGTTGAGTTTTCTGCCACCGCTTTCTATTCAAGCCTTCGTGCGTATCGAGGTGTTATCATACAAATGTGCACATGCGTGTGCGTGCACGTGGTCCCTCCTGTCCAGATGTTCTCCTGGTTCAACTCTCCCACAGATGAGCTCAGCAGTAGCAGAGGAGAGGTCATCGCAAGGAAAACAGCAAAGGGGGATGAAGGCTGAGCCCAACTGCCACTGTTGCTATCAGCAGCTTATTTCCATGTATATCTGAACATGTGCTGCTGATAGCAACAAAAACTGGACAGAACAGAGGCCTGCTTTGGTTAATAAACCCCTCTCAGTTTTCAGTATCTCTTCTGCGCATGCTGCAAAAGCATGAGCGATATCAACTAATTGCGTTTGTGTGTGCAGATGCTCCCTGGTGTGGTCACTGTAAACAGCTGGAGCCACAGTATGCAGAGGCTGCTGGGAAGCTGAAGGCGGAGGAGTCCGCGATGCGTTTGGCCAAAGTGGACGCCACTGAGGAGAGGGAGCTGGCTGAGGAGTTTGAGATCGGAGGCTTCCCCTCTCTGAAACTCTTCATCAATGGAGACCGCGAGCAGCCCATCGACTACACTGGTACACACACACACACACACACACACACACACACACACATACACACACCTCCAGTCGTTCATCAGTGATCAACTGTAAGTCATACTGCTGTACAGCTTTTCACATTAGCAACCACGTGTGTCTACGTCATCAGTAAGGCTGACTGTGCCCTGTCAGTCTAACAGTCATGAGTCATGTCTAACCCTAGAGAGTGTGTGTGTGTGTGTGTGTGTGTGAGTGTGTGTGTGTGTGTGTTGACCTCACCTGTTCACTGTTGAACCTGTTCACTGTCGTTAATATGCCTGAAGTTTTTTGATTTAATCAACAGTTTTTGTGTCTTTGAACTATTTTTAATATTTGACTGTGCAAATCAACCTTTTCTTTCCCTTTTATCTTAACGTTCTGTGAAGAGGATAGTTCAACATTTTGGAAATACTCTTGCTCTTGCTTGTCATATTTGTGCTTCTGTAACTCAATGCAATCCCCCATTCAACATTTCTTTCTAAAAAAAATTAAACATGTTCTTGGGGTTTTCTTTGAATTGAAACCTTTTCTGAGCACAAACAATAAAACTATGGTTCCCTTTAAAAAGCAGCAACAGTAGATACATTTTTTCAAAACTACCTTATACCGTCCTTAAACATATGAAGCAAGCACACAGTGTACTGCTGGTTTTGTTCCAAGGCTTGATCTTTAGTAATTGGTGTCATTACAAATGTCAATGGAATTTTGAATGTGGTTTTATAACTCGAACAAAACCCCGGAAGTTGTGTTTTCACTTTGGTTCTGTATGGAGATAATTAGCTTATCTTAGCATAAGGGGATAGCATACAGAGAAAAGCAGCTAGCCTCTCTCTGTCCAAAATCTAAACTTTTTTTTTGGTTATGGCCATTTTTGATTTGTTGATGTCTAGAAAAATTAAATGATAAGCAAAAAAAAAACAGTCCTCATGAGAAGAAGAAGTAAAGATGCGATACAATGTTTATGTTATGTAATGTTATGCTTTAAGAGTGCTGCTATGCTACAGAGCTAGGCTACGAGTGTTTTTTTCTAATCTAACCCTTAGCAAGAAAGCAGATAAGGGCATTTCCCAAAATGTCAATTTTTTATGTTAATGCTGTTTTCAGACACATATACCTTTAGTACTTCATCAGTAAACCTGTCAAATCTTACATCTTGTGTATTATATCGTGTGTGAAAGCAGATGAAACAACTCTTAAATGCCTTGACACGACTTCACTTGTTTGTGTTTGTATGTGGTGCCCAGGTAAGAGGTCAGCAGAGGGAATAATCCAGTGGCTGAAGCGCCGTACAGGCCCTGGTGCTGCAGTCCTCGACTCTGCACAGTCTGCAGCTCAGTTCATCGATGCCCATAACATCACTGTTGTCGGATTCTTTGATGTATGTTTATCCATTTTCATTTACCCAGTGTTACCTATAACTCAGAAAATATATTTGTATTTATATTTATATTTTGATTTTATTCATATCAGAGTCTGGAGAGTGAGGCGGCTAAGGTGTTCAAGGAAGTTGCCCTTGATACGACTGACACAGAGTTTGCCACGACAACGACTCCTGAGGTTTTCCAGAAGTATGAAGTAAAAGCCAACTCAGTTGTCCTCTTCAAAAAGGTATGAGAACTGATTCTGCAGCAGAGAGTCCAGTGTGTTACAAAGGCAGTGCAAAGGTTTAGGGAGCATTAATGATGTTAGCTTTGCTGCCATCTAGTGCCTGGACACAGTAAAATACAGTATTTTCCTATTTGAGGGTCAGTATAGATTCTCTTCTTTTAAAGGTTTGATTCAGGGTTTAGTTTAGAATAAGAACAAGGATTAGATTGTATTGTATTGTTAGTCTGGGTGTCTTGATCCTATGTACGTGGGGTTGGAGGCCTTTTACATGTCTGTACCCAGAGGCTCATTGTCTCATAATCTGCCTGCAGGTAAATTTCATTTAGAGTTTGTTTTATTTCATATTTTTTCTTTGCATATCCTGGTTCCGTGTGTGTGTTTTTTTGTTGAACATTTAAATATGAAGATAAAGAATTTTCAGTGATATAATGCAGAGAAAAGCAGAAAATTCTCACAACTGAGAAGCTGAAATCAGCAACTGTTTGGTATTTTTTTTATTGATAACTGAATTAAATGATTCAGGAATGATCAAATTTGTTGATCAGTTAATTGTTACAGAACTGGAAAAGTCTGGGAGATTAGTGTCGTGGTCTAGTGAAGTTTGCTAAAACAAACCTGTGTGTGTGTGTTTGCTAGTTTGATGACGGCAGAGCAGACTTTGCATTGTCAGAAGAAGGGAAGCTGGACAAAAGTAATCTGACCACCTTCATCCAGGAAAACAGCCTGGAGCTGATCATCCCATTCAAACAGGAGGTAATACACACACACGTGCATACACACACTACTAGAAAACTAAAATCAAATGTAAAATTATATTGAAATCATGCTGCGTGTGTGTGTGTGTGTGTGTGTGTGTGTGTGTGTGTGTGTGTGTGTGTGTGTTTTCAGACTGCAGAAAAGATCTTCTCCTCTAGCATCCACCTGCACAGCCTGCTATTCATCAACTCCACAGTGGAGAGTCAGACAGCCCTGGTGGAAAAATCCAGGCCTGTTGCCAAAGGGTTCAAGGGCAAGGTAACAGTTTGGTGTGTGTGTGTGTGTGTGTGTGTGTGTGTGTGTGTGTGTGTGTGTGTGTGTGTGTGTGTGTGTGTGTGTGTGTCTTTGAAAGTAAGTTAGTGATAAAAAGACCTAAAACTCAACCTTATTTTCAGTTTTTTTTTTTTATGTGTATGTGTGTTTGTGTCTCATGCAGATGTTGTTCATTGTAATTGACGTGACAACAGCCGTGTCTCATGTGCTGACATACTTTGGCGTGTCCGAGAACGACACCCCCACTGCACGCATCATAAACATGGATACAGGAAAGAAGTTCAACATCGCCGCCGGGGATCTCACAGCAGATTCTCTGCGACAGATGTGCCAGGAGGTTGTCGATGGCACTGCCAAGGTAATATACACGAACACACGTTTCATATTCAGCAACATTAAACCCAGTGGTGGAAAGTAACTCAAGTACTGTGCTTAGGTACAAATTTTAGGCAGTAGTACAGGAAATACTTTGCTACATTTCAGAGGGAAATATTGTGCTTTTTACTCCACTGCATTTATCTGACAGTTTTAGCTACTACTTACTTTTCAGGTTAAGATTTTACATTAAAAAAACATATGATGATAATTAAGAATTAAATCACTGGTTTAAAACCATTTTGAAATGTGGCAAGTTGGAAAAAACAGTGTCTAGTCATGGCCTCTTGCCACAGATATTTATGAGTTGTTAGCAGTTGCGCTAAAGAGTAACTTCCCCTTGAAACTTCCCAGATGGTTTCATTTAAAAAAAAAACATTTGTTAAATTAATGTAAAAAAATTCACAACAAAATCAAAGAGTCCAAAATAAGAAAAACAGTAGCTCTGTAACAGAAGTTAGTTTTTAATCATCTCACAGACCCCACAGGGAATGTTTTACTCCAGAACGAGTGCTTTTACTTTGATACTTTAAATACAGTTTGTTGATAATGCTTCTGTGCTATTACTTAAGTAGGACGCAGGATTTTTACTTGTAATGGAGTATTTTGAAACTGTAGTATTGGTACTTTTACTTAGGTATGCTGCACTTCCACCGCTGAATTAAACCCCAATAATTAGTTATTGTTTTGTGGTGCAGCCCTACTTACGCACAGAAGAGATCCCAGAGGACTGGAACAAAGGACCAGTCAAAGTCCTGGTGGGGAAGAACTTTGAGTCTGTGGCTCTGGACCCGACCAAAAACGTCTTTGTGGAGTTTTGTAAGTCTGAGTCTGTCTGCCTCAGTTTGAGTGACGTGTGCACTGTAAAACCTCTGACTGGAATTTAGTGAAATCATCATTAAATCCAATCTATTGTCAAGTAAACTTTCATTCAAAGCTTTTTCATTAAAAATCAGTAACTCCTGACATCAGCTGTGAAATGTTGTTGTGCTTCAAGGCATTTATTTATACTGAACTCATTGAAACTCATAAAATGTTGTGTGTGTGTGTGTGTGTGTGTGTGTGTGTAGATGCTCCATGGTGTGGACATTGTAAGGAACTGGCTCCCATCTGGGATCAGCTGGGTGAAAAGTACGCTGACCATGATGACATTATCATAGCCAAGATGGATGCCACAGCCAACGAAGTGGAGTCTCTCGATATTCGTGGATTCCCCACGCTCAAATATTTCCCAACTGCCGGCAAAGAGGTACACACACACACACACACACACACACACACACACACACATGAACACTCACACATGATTTTTTATAAAGAGCTTCTTACTGCCACTGCCAGGTGGTTGACTATACTGGGAAAAGGGATCTGGAGACGATGTCTAAGTTCCTGGATGATGGAGGAGTGTTGCCTAAGGAGGAAAGCGATGAGGAGGAAGATGAGGATGAAGAGGATGAAGAGGAAGACAAGGAAGATGATGATGCTAAGGAGGGTGACGACACCGGTGATGACAGCAAGGTTTGTATTTTTACTGTTACGTTTTATATTTTCCTGTGAAAATAGCTCTGCTCCACTCACCGCTCTTCCATCCATTTTCTTTTCTGTTTCAGGAAACTGACGAGTCTGCGACCAACAAAACATCTAAAGATGAGCTGTGATATCACTTCGGTTTCTTGTCAATCAGAATCAACCTAGTGTCTTCCTTTTTTTTCTTAATAAAATTAAATTGGGTTTAAAAGTATTGTGCACTCATGACTATTTTGAATTAGCTTTAAACCCTGTTTAGGTTTGTATTAATACTTGATTTGATTCTAAACTCTTTTTTCTATGAATATATAAATGTCTCATGAGGCAGTTAAAGCCACTTATAGGTTAGAAAAGGAGTTAAAAATCCTGCACCATATAGTTACAGTACAAGATACATTTATCAGTCAACGTGTTGAGAGAAGAGTCTCAAAGAAAGAAAGAAAGAAAGAAAGAAAGAACGGAAGGAAGGAAGAAAGCAGATTGAAAGATAGAAACAGTCATGTTTTTCATTCCTGAGTGACATCGTGAAGACAGACGGACATAAATAATGATGGACTACATTTCCTAAGAACATATTGTGGAACATACTGAGATGAGAAGACACAGTAGATAGAAATAACACCAAGGTACCAGTTGATAAGACTGAGTGTCTCTCTTCTCTGTGAGGACGTCCTGACGCACAGCGGTGCCTCAGACAGCATGCTAACGCGCTTACAGTGATCATGCTACTGTGTTAATGTTTAGACGGTACAGTATAACGCTTACCATCTTAGTTTATGGCAATAGATGAAAAGCTTTTTTTTTAAATATTCCTCTGCACACCACGAATGTCTGAAAGGAAAAATCTGATGTTAATCCAGCCAGCAGTTGGTATTATGATGTGATATTTCAATCAAAATGTTTTGGTGGCATTAGATGAAAAGTCAGGGGATCACCAAGGTCATCAGGACTTATTGTCTGTGATTTAATGCCAGTCCATCAAGCAGATGTTGACATATATTGCTAATAAGTACTAAAGAGGGTTGTGGGGGTTATTATACCACCAGATGTGTCTATTATTTTGTCCACCCCACTTCCATAACTGAGCGTTGGCTAAATAACAAAAACACCTCGATTTAAAATGCAAACTGAAAAAATAAACTGAACATTATAAACCTTCATGAGGATTTATTGTGATTTATTGTGTATTATTGGGTGTACAGCTTCTACTGTGCATACATAGTGATTACTGCATATTCATACTGCATCACATCATGTCTGCAGATTTGTCAGCTGCACGTTCATGCTGCCGATCCCCCATTCTTCCACATCCCAAAGGTTTTATGTTGGATTTAGATCTGGTGTTTGGGGAGGACAGTCATGCTGGATGTAGCCGTTAGAAGATGGTAGATTGTGGCCATAAATGGAAGCACATGGTCATCAACAATACTCAGACAGGCTGTGACATTCAAACCATGATTGATTGGTATTAAGTGCCCAAAGTGTGTCAGTTCATGCTGTTGATGCCAAATTCTGACACTTCCATCCGCGTACGTGTCTCATCATACTGTCCAGTTGTAGTGAGTCTGTGCCGACTGCAGCCTCACATTTCTGTTCTTGTCTGACAGGAGTGGACGTGGTCTTCTGCTGTTGTGGCTCATCCACCTCAAGGTTTGACGTGTTGTTCATTCTGAGATGCTTTTCCACCCACCACAGTTGTAAGTAGCTGTTATCTGAGTTACCGTAACCTTTGTGTCATTCTCCTCTGACCTTTCTTATCAACAAGATGTTTCTGCCCACAGAGCTGCTGCTCACTGGATGTTTTTTTGTTTGTTTGTTTGTTTGTTTGTTTTTCACACCTTACTGAGTAAAAACTCTAGAGACTGACTCCCAGGAGATGAGCAGTTTCAGAAACGCTCAGATCATACCACATGTCAAAGTCACTGAGATCACATTTTTCTCCATTCTGGTGTTTGATGTGAACATTAACTGAAGCTCCTGACCTGTATCTGCCTGAGTGTATACATTGCATTGCTGCCACGTGATTGGCTGATTGGAGACCTGTGTGAATAAGCAGGTGTACAGTTGTTGCTGTTGTTTTTATGCTGATTTATTTGTTTGAATCTTTTAACCTCGATTTAAAAGCCTAACAGGGGAGTTGAGACTGTGAATCTATACATTAAATCTGTTGCACTACTTGTCCGTATGTAACAATGTTTATCTGTGAGGTACCTTTTCACAAATAGATAAATACATAAACTGCATAAGTATATTATGTTTTGGTCATGACACTGCAAATGAGCTGCCAGAGAATGAGTTTGCATGTAGGAAGCAGGTAAGATTGTAAACTCCTGTGAGGGAAACAGGTAAAGAGGGTTGGTCTGACGTCTGTGGGAAGCAAAATGTTTCAAATTCCAGAGGAAAACGGGTTCAACAGGCTGTGATGTCACGGCTGTCACCAACATGGTACGTGTTTCCTCCTGGCAGCCGAGCTTCCTCGTTTGTCCATAAGGTAAGACCACTGCTCGACAATATCTCACACATCACACTGTTTAATTGGCGAGGGACGACATGTGTTACTCTTTGCGGGTGGTATTTGGGGTTTGTATGTGGCGGAGGCCGGTTTGTGCCCGTTTGGATCAGATACAAGGGCTTGGATGTATGTTGTTTACATAAGAGTAACGTCCCATGTGAGCCACAATGACTTGGCTGCATTCAGCAGGCGTGTTTAATGACTGATACAGCTGGTGTTCGGTGACATGTCGGCATGAAAACACTTCTTGTGAAGAAAAGGTGAAGTGGAGGAGCACGATTTAGGATTATTTGTGTGTTCAGTGATACATACTATATTGACTGTGTTGTTTTGAACTCATGCTAAGTGTTTAACTGGCCATCTGAACTGTAATAAGCTGACAGTGAGTGTGTGACATATTTAAAACGGTAAATATATTAAAAATATTTTTGAATATATGTTAACCCTAAATCTATTCTTTTGATATGTATGTTCATTTTGTGCTCTGGACAGTAAACAGCCCAAATGTTTGGATCGATTAACTTTGATAATGAAATAAGTGCCGTCACACAGTGTGTAAAGTAGTACAGGAGCTCTACTTTGTCTTTCTACTAGTACAGTAGGCTACACTCCATTTACACCACTCACTGGAAAATGTTATGTCATGAAGAAAGCAATTTCCATCTGCAACTGAATACAGATTTTCATAAAACTACATATTGTGATGAATGTGAATCACGTGGCAGATTATTTTCATTCAAGTTAGTGCAGTAGTTCTGTGGCTCAGGACAAAAACATCCTGTAGTACATATTTGTCATATCATGCAGTGTTAAACCGCTATGCATAGGCCTTTTTTTTATTATGTAATTGTAGCATCTTTGAAATTGAAACGTGTTTCTCTCATTCCCGGTATGTGACTGTTATGACACTGACATTTTTGATACTATCGCAGATGTTTGAATCCGACATAGAGGCGCTTGGTCATGCAGCTGGAGCTAAAGCAGTGTTTCCAAATCTTTCTTGCTTGGGAAACCTTGAACATGAGCCATGAGCATTTTGACCAAAGAGTGATTTTTTCCTTCTCAGATCGTTTAATTTACAGGATTTTTAGAAGCTAGAAATTAGAGAAGAGTCAGGGGAAATTTTTTATGCAGCAGAAATACAGAACTGTGAACAGTTTTAGACACTACACGTAAATTGGGGAAACTTTCAAAAGATAAAGCCATGAAGAGTTTTTACCTATCAATTAACTTCATACAAATTGAACTAAACAGAAAAAAAGACTTTTGACCTTTGAAACAGCACCAGTTCTCCTCGGTACACGTGTCTCAGTGTCATCTGTCTCTTCATGTGATCAGGGTATTCCATGAAACAGGCCTTTAATTTAGAAGAACCAAATGAACTTTAGCTTTGTGTTCAGAAGGCACATGTTTAAACTGCTCTCTGTGTGTGTCCATGACATCTGACTTCATCTTCATCCTCCTTTTTCTCACCAGCGTCCTTTTTCACTCCTGATGGAGCCTCCTTCGTATGAAGAGGCCAGTCTCCACCCTCCACCTCTGACCACAGAAGGATTAAACATCCCACCTCCCCCTTCCTATGACGCCTCCCTCTCCTCTCCCGCAACGCCTCCCCCCACCTATGGAGAAGCAGGTAAGATAACAGCTCATTGCTCTCTCTTTCCCCATTTCCCCTCACGGCTCATCGGGCATCGATGAGAATCCATCCACACTAAGAGAGGATTCATCTTTTTCTCTCTGATTTGGCCCTTTGTCCACATAAATCTATTTTACGAGGCTTTCTGCAAACAATATACGGAATGGAAAAATCTGAAAATGCCTGTTTCGTCTTTTAGTGTAGATTAAAAAACTGAGCTTTTACAAAACAATGAGGTGAGCCTGCACAGACTGTAAGTAAAGAAGCCAGCTTCATCGCCTCTAATGTCCTCCGCAATCACTAATTTAAATGTCAGTACAGCTGATTCCACCGTGTAGCTGTTGTCATTAACTGTATTTATGTTTAGTTTGTCAGATGACTTCATAAAATAGAGATTTTTTTGACACCTCAATGTACAAAATACTGTTCACCTGCATTACAGGTCGCTGTCTCTATTCTGACAACTGAAACAGAACTATTTGTAAAGAGGGACAATTCAATTTTGAATCCGACTATATTAAAGTACCTATTGGTGAGTCCCATTATAGGTGATTACAGTGAGCAGGAGGGGCCAAAAAGGAGTTTTAAAGAGTTGAAATTGAGCAAAATAAGCAGGTTGTCTGTCCCACTGCTGACTACATGCTTATTGATGTTGTTGTTTTGTAATTTGTCAACTTGAAAGAGGAATGACAAGGAAAACATTTAGCTGTTTGCTGTTGTTAATAGGATGGAAATCTTTAGGGAAACATGCATGAAGCACCAGTGAGGGCACACATCATTTTGCATCCACATTTGCATTTTCAGGTTCTTTTTTGTAGAGACATCTGTCCACAGTTTAACACCTGAAAAACTTCAAACTGGCCAAATCTCCTCTTCCTCGCGTTCTTTTCAGGTGCCAAACAACAAAATTGTGCATCACAGCACAACATCTGGTAAGCAGTGGGACAGACATCTGGTTGGCCATATCATTATTTCATGGTAACAGGGTTTCCTTGACATAATCAACATAAATACATACAGGTTCATGTCAACAGTTCTGCTGTGTATGTGTCTGTTCTGTATACAGGCATTTAAAATGAATGATCTCAGAGAAAGTTAAAGGTGAGTAAAGGTTGTACTCTTTAACTTTACTGGTTCCCCGTACTGGGCAGCTTATGTTATTGTTTTTAAAAATCTCTGTTTTCCTCATCCGCAGTGAAACATAAAGCCAGCGTTCTGACATTCATACATTCTGCAGGCGATTTGGATAAAGCCCAAGTTTGGGGTCTACGAATAGAGAAAAACGTGTGTTTACAAATTTAAGTAAAGTAGCCTAAGTTAAGTTTTTTTTTTTTTTTTTTACTAGTTACAATCCAGCCGGATCCATTTCCACCCTCTGTGCCAGCTGCTGGGACCTCGCCTCCCCAAAACACTGAAAACATAATCCACCCACATACACAAGGTATAAGGACTATGTTGTAATTGTTGCTCTCAATAACAAATATAATCCAAGTGAGCAGGTGAGAATATTATTTCTTTTGCTTCCCTCCTTGTCCTTACTTCCCTCTGATATCTCCCTGCGTCCTTCCTGTGGATTCTGTGAACCAGTTGGTGTAAGGCCGGCTCTCAACGGCAGACAAACTCAGCCAGTAGTAGTTGTGACCCAGCCGACGCCTGTTCCTATCTCAGTGACATGTCTGAGAGACAGCCCTGCTTTGGTCCGCTGCCCACACTGCCACCACACTGTCACCACTAAAGTCATATACCTGCCTGGGAGGGCTGCCTGGTGTCTGTGTGTACTTCTCACATTGATGGGGTGAGACACGCTAATACACACACACGCACACGCACGCACACACACACACACACACACACACACACACAGTAGCCTATTTAATGTCAGAATGTTACAGCCCAAAAAACTTAAACTATGTATTCTGCGTGTGTGTGTGTGTTTGTGTGTTTGTGTGTGTTTCAGGTTGGTCTGTGGTTTCTGTCTGATCCCATTCATGGTACGTGGACTACAAGATGCACATCACTCCTGCCCACGGTGTGGAAATCATTTGCACGTATACACGGGATGACGCCGTCAGGATGGATAATCCTCCTGCTGTCCTCAGTCCACCCAAAATCTTACAACACTCTACTGCGTTTGTCACATCGTGGGTAAATAGTTTGTCATGAGCTAGGAATGTAAGCAGCTCACTCTACAAGCTACAGGGGGAAACAGAGTGTATTTAAGTGATTATAAGTGTTTAATATATAACAGAGTACATACTGAGCGTAAGGATGGACAGAGGAGAAGTGGATTATGAGAAGATTTGAGAAGTTTCTGTGAATATTTTTGTACATTTTTTTTCTGCTGTAGATACTTGTCACATTTAAAACTACTTAAAATATTGAATTTTTAATTGTGAATTTCATCTCCGTAGTTGACAGTTTTGAACATTTTAAGACATTCTTCAGAAGCACACAAGCATTTGTAACATATGTAGTAGGAAACTAGGCAAAAACACTTTTTGCACTTTTTGATCTTTTGTATGAATTTATCATGGGGGTGGGTGGGATGTTAATTTAAAAAGAAAAATGAGGAGGAAGAGAATATTGAATCCATCCCTCCATTCAGCAGAATTTTATCACAAGTCAGACTGAGAGGACACTTATCAGAAACAAGATGATGTCCAGTCCAGGGACTTAATTTGTCGTTCTGTTTTTGTTTTTCATGGATTATAATGATTATTAGTTTCCATATTTAAATAAGCAAATAAATCTTTGTTATTTCTCTTTTTCTTCTACAGATATAGCTAATGCTAATGTTTACTGACTGCAATGAAATGGGGGAAACCTGTCCAAGTATGAATGCCAGACAGGTTTTTCTTTGTTAAACCAAACAAAGCCAATTAGAAAACTGCACACCCATGGTAACCCCACACAAGTGGTTTGAGTTATTCTGATTAGACCTCTGCTCAGGACTGGGTGTGGGTGTGCACAGACAAATTACACCATTAACACTCTTAGTAGCAGCCTACATGGGAGTGAGCTGATGTAATTCCAGCATAAAGCTCAACCCAGCTTCAATCTGAGCACGTCTCATCAGAGAGTGAGTGAAAACACCTGTGTGGTTGTGCAGAGTCATCAAGGTACAATCTGTGATCCAAAATATTTTGTCCCAAGAGCAAAAAAAAAAAAAAAATTACAAAATGAAATCACAGTGATTGGACCCTGCAGCCCCTCAAATTGATTGACAGAACTTTTAATACAGACACAGGACAAAAATTAAATGTAAAATATGAATGTTTTTGTTTGCTCTAAAAGATTTGTTTACATAAGTAAATTCTTCACACACCGTAGAAGGCTTATATTTTGAATTGTAATTTTATTATGAAAACAGTTGTGAATTATGAATTATTATCACAAGAAACACAAAATGGTGTTAAAAAGTTTTTAAAAAATACATACAGTCCTTTAAGTCAATTACTGTGATGAACACCGACTGTACAGTTTTAACCCTGTCAATGAAGCTGATTATATTCTATATTTTTTAGTTTTTCAAATTTACTTCCATGTCATAAATTTGCCTTTTTGTCTTTGCATTACTTTTAAAATTACTTTTCAAAGATAAAATGTTATTATAGATGTTACACAGAGAGAGACAGTGTGTGCGTAGATCTTTACAAATGTGTATCTTGTTGAGAAGATACCAGATTCATGAACTCTATCTGTCTTTTAAATATGAACCCTAACCCATTGACAGAGCCAGGCTAGCAGTCTCAATGCTAAGCTAACCGTCTCCTAGCAGTAGCTTCTAATTTACCAGACAGATAATGTATGAGAGTATGGTATCAATCTTCTCACCTAACTGTGGGCGAGAAAACAAATAAGCTTATCTCTCAAAATGTTGAACTATGCCTTCAATAGTTCCTTTACTGTGATTAAACCTGCTGTGAATTCCTGGTGTGGAAAACAGGCCGAAGGTTGAAGATGAAGCATATAGTATAGTGCCTGTACTGCTGAGTCTATTAACTACAATGCAATGACCCATTAATTAATCTTCTCTACCCGTCGCTGTAATGACACACCATGCCGTTTTTTTTTTTTTTTTGTTAAATCAAAATGTGTTATGTGTTAAACATGTTATTATTTATCATTCTATCATGATCTATCAGGAAATAAAAAAGGGGTCTTGGTTACTCTGACAAAGCTGTGCACTTGTATTTTTCTAACATGCACCAGTGGGTGAATTATGTTGCATATGTTGCATATGTATATGTGTTTCATGAGTGTTTGCATGCGTTTGTGCTTCCATTTTGACCTTGTTGAGACTAGCAGTGTTAGGCAAAGGGCATTTAGATATTAGTGATATACTTGATATGAACAGCAGCCAATAGCAGAGATACAGCAGGGCTTAGATAGGAAAGTTAATCAGCTACAGACTGGTGGGTCTAGTCGGCAGATAACAAAAGCATTCACAACTACCAGCTCAGCACTGATACACACACATATACACACACATACACACATATCAGCCCTTCCTTTCACCACTCCCTTCATACCTTCCCGTCAAGCTTGTTCCAGTGTTCAATTTGTCAGATTGTGGGTGAACCGTCATGAGGAGACTGTTGCTGCTGGGGGTGACGGCCTTCTGTCTCTGTGTGTTTGTCGCCGCTGACACACAGCAAAACCGACAGGGAGAAAAATCTCTCCCCGAGAAAGATGGAGTTTTGCAGCTGAAAAAGGGAAATTTCAACAGGGCACTGAGAAAATACAAGCAGCTCCTGGTGCATTTCTGTAAGTTACACACCAAGGCTCATTTATTAAAAATGACACCATTAGAGTAATTAAATGGTTTGTGAGTGTCTCCGGGCTGCCTCAAAGCCAAACAACCACCTCACACTGCAGCATATTCATGACATTCCTTATTTATTCTACCTTATTTATTTATACTTACTGTGTGTGTTTGTTTCTGTTCTGTGTAGATGCTCCTCTCTCTGGAGAAGGTTATCGTGTATCAGCAGCTTTCGAAGGTGCTGCTGCAAAGCTTCAGGAGTCAGAGGTCAAACTGGCAGTCGTTGATGTCACAAAGGAAAAGGACCTGGCTAAAGATCTCAATGCCACAGGTCCCCCGACAATCAGGCTGTACCTCGCTGGAGATAAACAAAACCCTGTACCCTGCCCTGGTACGTGCAAGTGACAACTGGTATATCCTTTACACAATTATAACTGTGATTTATTATTTGCTAAAGAGCTAAAAACCCTAAAGCTAAAGTCATCTGGTTTCAGACAGTTGGAATTTGGCAAGCTATTTAAAGGTCTGGGCTTGTCCACTGGTATTTTCCTAAATGTATTTCATTCTGAAAAAGAGAAAAAAGAGACAGATTTCTTCACATTTAGAGAGAGCAAGGCTAGCTGTTTCCTCTGGCTTTATGCTAAGCTAAACTGATCGTCTCTGGCTCCACAGATAACAGGCAGACCTAAACTCTTTGGCGGAAAACCAATATGAAATGTTTTAACTGAGCTGTTGAATATTATTTGGTTTGGATTAAATATTGAAAGTGAAAAGTATTTGTTTATGTGATTCAGTTCCTCAGAGCTCAGCCTCCATCTTGACCTGGCTGAAGAGGCGGGCAGGGTCTGCCGCTGATCTCATCACAGATCTTAGCCAATCAGAAGCCTCAGATGAGCTGACAGTGGTTGGATTTTTTAAGGTGAAAACCAGCTATTTGATGCGCCTTTCCTCTCCCTATTTTTGTGACTTAGTACAACAATGTGTGTGTGTGTGTGTGTGTGTGTGTGTGTGTGTGTGTGTGTGTGTGTGTGTGTGTAGGAGCTGGACCAAGAGTATGCCCAGATGTTCTACTCTGCAGCCGTCGACCTACCTGACGTTAACTTCGTTGTGACACAGAACAATGAAGTTATCAGTAAATATGGCCTCACACATGATGTTGTCCTGCTGCTCAAAAAGGTACTTTACACACACACACACATACACACACACACACACACACACACAAAAATATAAACCTTTGAAAATACTTATACAGTAGAAAGACTAGAGTAGCAATAGAAAACACACAGGAAGATGTAAAACTATTGATCATCTGAATAATAATATAGAGTAATATAGAGTTCTGCAACTAATGATTATTTTCATTCTTGATTTATCTCCCAATAATTTTAATTATTAAAAAGGCATTCAGAGTTTGTTAAAGGCCGCGGGAATGTTTCATGAGACACATGCATGACTGTATCAAGTCGTTCAAGACTAGTAGTTCATTGCACTCATACCTGTGTATTATCATCTGTCTGTTTGCCTGTGTGTGTGTGTGTGTGTGTGTGTGTGTGTGTGTGTGTGTGTGTGTGTGTGTGTGTGTGTGTGTGTGTGTGTGTGTGTGTGTGTGTGTGTGTGTGTGTGCATTTGTGTGTGTGTGTGTGTGTGTGTGTGCATTTGTGTGTGTGCATTTGTGTGTGTGCATTTGTGTGTGTGTGTCTGCTGCAGTCTAAACTCATCCAGGCTTATAAAATGATGCCTCAGACATCTAAAGAGGAGCTGATCGTCTTTATCACTGTCTACCAGATGGACCCAGCCACTGAGTACACCGGAAAGGTTGAGTAATAGATCCACACACACACTGTAACTGCTCTGCTGCAGGGCAATGATACTTTTATGCTTTTTTGTGTTTAAATTCACTGGGATCGTTTGACTAGGAATTTTCATTCACTCTTTCTTGCAGATCTGAGTTCTGAGATATAGTTAAGCTGCTACCCACATAATTTTCAATGCTGTTCAAGTCAGGGAACTGTGAGTGTTGTTCCAAAAGCTTGTGTTTCTTGAAGTAGTTCACTGGATTTTGCTGTATGAATTTGCTCATTGTCCTGTCGTAGAAGCTATCCTCTTTTCAGTTTCAGTTTCTTGACTGACTGCAGGACATTTGCATCCAGAATCATTTTCTGATGTTTAGTGGAATTCATTCTTCCCTCTATCTATGCAATGTTTCCTGTGCCACTGGCTGCTCCAGTATTTACATCCCTATGCTTAAAGGTTACTGAGTGCTGATTTAGTAGGGTTACCAAACGTTTTTATATTCACAATGATTAATTGATGATTTTTTTTTTCATATTTTAATGAAATAAGAAGTAACAGTGCCAGTCTTTCTCTTACTGTCACTATGTAGAGAACCACGATAGCAGTAAACACAAGACATATAGATTCATGCACTGTGTATGATTTATAATATCTTTATATGCAGTCTATGATGTGAAGTGAGTATATGAATGTTATTCCATCTCTTTCAGACAGCCACTCAGATCTTAACCTCACCTGTGTTAAACCACGCCCTCCTGTTTGTTAACAAAAGCTCTGCAGACTTCGAAGAGATCCACTCTGCCTTTAACAATGCTGCAGAGGCATTCAGATTGAAGGTATACACACACACACACACACACACACACACACATACACAGCACTGCAGCACATATAGTATTAGAATAATTTTATCCCAAGCTGTTCTAGTACTTCACCTCTGCATGTGTGTGTGTGTGTGTGTGTATGGTCAGATTTTGTTTGTGTGGGTGAACGTGGATGAGCCTCGTAATGGCAGGCTGATGGAATACTTCCGAGTACGAGATTTTGAGGCTCCTCTCATCCGATTGGTCAACCTGACAGACCATGTGACCTATCACCTGCCCTCTGACACTCTGGATGTAGGGATCATAAAACAATTCTGTCAGTCCTACCTGGAGGGCAAAGCTAAGGTAACTTTACACTTTCACCCAGATATAAAACACAAGCTGGGATGACAGATCCTGATGTGTGTAATGTGTTTCTGTGCATGTTGATGTTACAGCCTAAGATGCAGAGTGAGCCGATACCTGAGGGATGGGACAAAAAGCTGGTGAAGGAGCTGGTGGGAATGACTCTGGAGAAAGTTGCCTTTAACCCCGACAAGACAGTTTTTGTCCTGTTCTGTACGTAAACACATTTTCCAAATACAGTCTGACCAGTGAGCATGGATTTGTTCATTTGCAGGTGAAAACGAATTTGCTTTAATGCTGAGCTTCCATTTAGCCATAGTTTCAACATCATTTTGAAGACTGTATTTCAGAGTAAAACAGGTTAGAACTTGTGGTTTCAGTCACAAATTATGTTTAAACAAATGTAGCCTAGATGTCTAAAAGATGTTCACTCTTCAGCCAAACTGGTGACGACATGTAATATAGAAATCAACAAATCCATTCTTACTTGGTAGTTCAACCACTCTCAGTTCTCAGGCTATATTTTGTCTTCCTGCAGTTGTTTATTTTGTGTCCTCATTGCTTTCTAGCCTCGTTTTTAATATTTTCTCCTTGTTGTTACTTGTACTCACTAACATGATTGTAGCCACTGAGGATATGTCCAGCCTGTTTTATTGGCTTTATTGGTATCACCCAGAATTATCACCCAGTTCTGCAGTTCCCCTCGGCGGAGAGCCTTAGTGTCTGATTGTTTTGCTCTAACAGCCTGCAACTGCTTTCATTAACACCATTCCAGAAGCAAAAGGCAGAAAAGCTACCTGTCCATCACCAAAAAACAATGTTAGCTCTATCTGGTGAACACACAGGAGCATGTAAGAACCTGATATTTCCCTCAGGAGTTGATGAAGACCAAACATAGTGCTAAAAGAAGAGTAAATATTAATTAATTAATTTGTAATTTGTACTATTTGTACTTATTGTTTGTACTTCAGATCTGCCCTACAGTCAAGAGTCCCGTGCTCTGTTCCCGCTGTGGGAGGAACTGGCCGAGGCCTTAAAGGAGCGAGGGGACGTGGTTGTCGCTCGCATCGATGCCTCAGCCAATGACATTAACATGTCGATGAAGGGATCTTACCCATCACTCTGCCTGTTTCCTGCTCTGTATGCTGAAAGGGTATGAAGCATCCCTGGAGCAATTAGGTGTTTGTGTCTAAACTTAGCTTAACCATTTACAACCATCAACAAAATCCAAATACTGTTAATGATATAGCTGTTTAAAAAACGATTATGTTATAACATTATATTAATGAGGATGCATATAAAATGTGATATATTTAACTGTGTCGTATTCACTAAGAAATGTCAATGACAAGCTGAAAAATATTGGATTACATGCGTTATCTTTACTTTGTGTGACAAACTGTACATCTATCGAGGTTGTTAATGTTCAGTATGTGATCTGCATTTCCATCAGATGGTGGTTTACACTGGAAAAAGGAAGTTGAAGGACCTGGTAAAGTTTGTAGATAAAGAGATGGAAAAAGCCAAAAAAGACAGAGTTAAGGTAAATCATCTTTCTCGCTAGTGCTCCGGTTTGAGCTTGATGTGACTGTGTATGTTTGATGTCTTCCATTTTCTCTGTGTTAAAAATAAACTTCTTTCCTTTGCGTCTCCAGGAGGATGAAGACAGGAGGAACTACATCGAGACCATAAAAGCTGAAGAGGCCAAAAAAGCCAACCAAACCAAAGACGAGCTTTAATGCAAGAACAAAGAAAGTAGTGTGTGTGTGTGTGTGCGTGTGTGTGTGTGTGTGTGTGTGTGTGTGTGTCATACCTTTTAGTCACTCCCTTCCAAACATGGATCTGGTTTTATCTACTCAACTGACATTCAAGACCTGTCCAATCAAATCCAATAAAGTCTTCAGTTAAAAACTGATAGTTACAAGGTTTTTCATTTATTTAAGCTCCGTGAGCTTCTGTATTTGTCATGTTGATCATAGGAATTCAAAGTTGAAGCAGACCTGATGATGAATTCAACTAAAAATACTGAAGTAAGAATGAACATCAGAGAGCTTGATTAATGCATCGGCATGGTAACAAAGATTTAATGTATTTGAGAGATCTGAGAGAGCTCTGACAAGTTTATTGTGTGGAATATCTTGTTCAGTAGCTATATATCTTGGTCACAATTATTTAGATATTGTATAAAATCTAACTTGAGGGATTTTTCTTTATGTTCTGTGTTTACTTTTCAAGATGAGAGATAATTTTCAGAACTTTTTAATAAGTCATACATATAAATATTGAGCTTAAAAAGTTTGTATTGGTTATGCTCTAATGACAACACATTCAATAGAAAACTAATTGTCATAGCAAAACATCATGCTTCAACTGAGACAAAAATAGATATGACACAAAAACTTCAGGAGATTCAGTACAATACAATATTCAAATAAATGACTGCACTACTATGAAGGACCATGGCTACTGTTGAGGACACTGAGGTCATTTCCTTAGTATTTCTATCTATTTCTTTTTTTCTGGAGTTTGTGGGGTTTAGCTAACTAAAAAAAGATCACAAAAAAATAACATACATTTTATATTGTATTATCTATTATATAAAATAAAATGTGATGGATATCTTAAAAGCTTATAACAGAATTGTTTGACTTAACTTGAAGGCCAATAATAATGTAGTAAACTTATATCTTGATGTATGCAGAGGATGTATATATGTCATAATAATATATGCTCTTATAAGTGACACATATGGTTAAATCACTCTTGATATAGGGACACATATGTCATATATATGTCATAAGTATACTTAGTCATCATATAGTGAGGCATAAAAAGTCAGAAAAAAGTCATGGTATGGTAAGACATAAAAATTCGACAAAATGTGACAGTATAGTCAGACAAAAAAGGTCATAGTATATTAAGGCATGAAAACTTTATAATATAGTAAGGCATAAAAAGTCAAAAAAGTCATGGTACTTTGTTAAGGCATAAAATGTAATAAAAAATGTCATAATATAGTAAGGCATGAAAAGTCATAAAAACGTCATAGTATAGTAAGGCATATAAAAACATAAAAACGTCTTACTATAGTGAGGCATAAAATGTCATGAAAACGTCATACTATATTGAGGCATACGAAGTTATAAAAACGTCACAGTGTAATGAGTCATAACAAGACAAAAATGTCATAATATAGTAAGAGAAAAAAACATCTTAGGAGGCTCAGGTCCTTTGACGTCTGCAGTGAAATGCTGCACATGTTTTATCAGTCAGTGGTAGCCATTGTACTATTTTATGCTGCAATCTGCTGAGGCAGCAGCATGTCTGACATGAACACTCACATGAAGGAGACTGGACAAGCTGGTCAAAAAGGCTGGGTCTGTGCTTGGCAGGAGTCTGGACTCACTCATTACTGTTGTGGAGAGATGCATGCAATGTAAGATGGAGGCCATCTTGGACAATACCAACCATCCTCTCTGAAACATTCTGGCAGGACAGAGAAGCAGCTACAGCAGCAAATGTCTCATCTCACTGAGCTGCAGAACAGTGAGGTTCAGGAGATCAGTTGTGCCCACTGCCATCAGGCTATACAACAACTCAGCCAAAGGAAGTGGACTAATCTAGTTATTATTGTTTATTATTAACTGTTTTTATTATTATCAACAATGAGCTAATGGACGCATGAATTTCCCCTAAGGGATAAATGAAGTTTCTATCTATCTATCTATCTATCTATCTATCTATCTATCTATCTATCTATCTATCTATCTATCTATCTATCTATCTATCTATCTAAAGCAAAAATGTCATAAAAATGTCATTGTATAGTAAGGCATAAAAACATCATAGTATAATAAGGCATAAATAGTAATTAAAAATTCATAATATAGTAAGGCATAATAAGTCATAAAAAAGTGATACTATAGTAAGGCATATATGAATGCATAAAGAGTTTTTAAAAAACTCATAGTATAGTAGGGCATTAAAATTCATAAAAATGTCATAGTATAATAAAGCATAAAATGTCATAAAAACGTCATAGTATGGTCAGGCATGATCCGAAATAATATGATTAGTCATAAAATTTGAAAAATACATCAAAGCATATTAAGGCATAAAACGTCATAAAAAAGTCACAGTATGTCAAGGCATGAGATGAAATTATATAATTAGCCATAAAAATGCCAAATAATATTTTAGTATAGTATGGCATAAAATGTCAAAAATACATCATAGTATAATAAGGCATAAAATGTCATAAATACATCATAGTATGGTCAGGTATGATGCAAAATAATATAATTAGGCATAAAAATGCCAAAAAAGATATTAGTATAGTATGGCACAAAAATGACAAAAAACGTCATAGTATATTAAGGCATAAAAGTTCATAAAAACGTTATAGTATGGTCCGGCATGAGATGAAATAATATAATTAGGCATAAAAATGCCAAAAAAGATCTTAGTTTAGTATGGCAGAAAAATTTCAAAAAATGTCATAGTATATTAAGGCATAAAAGGTCATAAAATCATCATAGTTTGTCAAGGAATGTAACGAAGTAATATAATAACATTTGTATATCACAAATTGAATGTAAGTATGTTGAAAGCATGATTGTATTTTATATTCCAAGCATAGATTTATATGCTTTAAAAGCAAATCTAAATGTTTTGTATGCATCAAATGTGTCAATATCAGTGAAGTTAAGTTCAATGTCTTTGTTTTAACTAAATGTCAAAACTGTAATTTGGTTTGCAATGTGGGCAAAGAACATGTAGCTTTACTTTTAAATGTTAGCTTTGGTGGTTGTGCTGTAAAGGTGCAATATAAGATGCGGCCAGAACTTTAGTCTAAAATGTTTAAAAAATGAATTAACACAATCAACAGTGTGTGAATCAGCCACAGTGATAATGTCATGATCAAGACCTCCATCTGTTGTATTTCAGAGTCATCTACTGAAATGTGCATGCGCACCAGCCAGCACCGACCTGTCCTGTGTTGTAATACCACTTTTTGACACTAGACGCTGTGTGAGTCAGTGGCGCGTCAAGTCTGCCCTCAGTCCCACAAAGAAGAACAACTTCCGGCAGCGCTTGAAGTTAGCATCACAGAAACGTAGGAATGGCTGAACCTCCTAAAAGGCGATATTCATCTGCATCCCGAAGGACCGCTCCCGACAAGAAACCACGTTCAACGGCAAAGAAAAGAAGCAACATGAGAAAATCTGGATGTGGCTTTCCACCGCTGGAGACAGCTCCTGAGAGTAAAGAGATGCGGTTTGATGCCGAGCTTGCAACTTTCCTGTTAGCCAGGTGAGTAGTTTCAATGTTAGCTCTTTAGCTAAAAGTATAATCAGTGCAACGGCCGACAAACATTTCAGGTGGTGATATTGACGTTGTCGACAGACGTTTCAGCTGTTACTATGATTGTGTCTGTTGCTCTCGGCTGTTGTACAGCTAGTGACGGGGGCTAAGTCGTTTAGACAAGGCCTGCACTGGGGCCGAGAGCTAGCCGCCGTTCCCGTTAGCATTAGCATTTTTTTTTCTTTTTTCTTTATTTGTTTATCTGGAACAAACAGAAGATGATAAGCAAAATAACAAGTGGGGGGACTAGCTTGCTATCATTAGCATTACCTTTTTTTGTTTTTTTATTGGTGAAAAAAAACGGACAAACATGGGGGGGCAGTTTATTAGCATTAGCAGCTAGCTTGGTGACATTGTTCATTGATGAATGAATTTAACAATTTCATAAGAATGCAAAATAATAAGTGGGGGGGATAGCTAGCATCTTTATTGGTGACAAACAGAAGGTGACACAGAACATTTTAACCATGAAGCACGATAGACAAGTGACAAAATGTATATAAAGTGACATTTTGTTTGTGATTGTATATAATAATAATGACAATAATAGTAAAAATAATTATCATTGTAAAAATGACAAAGATAATGAGTATTGATAACAATTATAATGCTAACAATGATATATTATAATTACAATAAATGATAATGTTGATAATGGCAACAATGGACGTGTGCATGCACAGTAAATACAGCTGCCCCCATTTTCATTAGTGTATGAATCTAACGATTTATAAGATTATTCAAAATAATACAATGTAAAAAAGTGAGAACTTTCTAAATGCACTGTATGTCTAACTGATCGATCTGTCCAACAGCCATCTCTAGTTTTCTTTCCCAACAGGGAGTTTCTCTAGGATGAGGTGTAATTCAGGCACAGTTTATGTTCTTACAGCTGCTTTCACACTACTGCTGTGTGTGTACTAAATTCACACAAAAATATTAACATTAACATGTGAAACCTTTCTCCAGGTGACAAAGAAGCTGCTGGTGCTGCTTCTGAAACAGTTGCCTGGGTTACCAATGTTGCCGTGTTGGCTTTCCAGGATGGTGGCCGGATTGATGATGCCACATATTCAAGGTGGACCCCCGGAGGTTCCTGTTTTCACATTGAGGCATAGCGGTCCTCGCTGGTGGGGAAGCACAGGATGCTCAGACTGTTGCCAAGGTGATCCAGAGGATCTCCTGGGAGGAGTGGAGGCTCCACTGTTGGAGGAGGACACATGGGGCGGAGGAGACGGCTCTCCTCATCCAGGATCTCCACGTCACCCTGGACGTCTCTTTGCTGGATTCTCTCTGCATCCAGGACATATGGAGACACAGAGGCGCCACCTCAGCTGCATTCAAGACCCAGCAGGTGTGCAGCTGTACACAGAGA